CCTTCAATGAGAACCGCTTTTAAAATGCACTAAACCGAGCCGGTAGCAGAGCCCGGGGCTATTTTTATCGCGGACCTGAGAAAACCAGACTCCGCCAACTGCGTTCTGTCTGTGCTGTGTGGTAACATATAAAAACATATAGTTTTTAAACTTCAACAAGCAAACATTAGGCCGAGAGCAGGATGGTGTTTTCGCGCCTTCCTCTGCAGGTTGTGGGGAAAACACCTGCTCTGCAGACTCTGGCTGCAGGTTTGTGCCAGGACAAGATGGACTTGGGAAGTTGGTTGTGGCAAGCCGGGCACACCAGGCCACCGCATTCAGCCAGACACTGGGCACAAGGAAGTTACACAAGTGCAGTGAAGTCCGCTCTGCCCAGGTTTAGGGGCTGGCCCGTTGCATGAACACAGCTGCGGCAGTCCCAGCTTCCTCCTCGGCCTTTCCAGCTCAGGGCGTCTGGCCTTGTGCAAAGGGAAAGGGCCTCCTCTCCCTGGGCCCTGGAGAGGTTCACTGAATGCCAGAGGGATCTGATTCCCAAGACGGGCCCCACAAAGAGACTTCCATGTTGGCCTGACCCGCTGCTGCTGCGGGTTCCTCTCCAAGGCTGGATCTGTACTCCCCTGCTAGAGACCAAGACCCCCTGGCTAAATGGGTCCTGGACAGGCTGACCGGCATCTCTGCCCTTGCCCAGAGCGTTGGAGGTAGCAGTGAGATGGGGGTGGGGAAGTCCATGCCACTGCAGCCCCCCAGAAGAAAAGCACCAGATCTGCAGCACACAGGGCAAAGGTGCCCGAGGGAGTCCAAAGCAGCATCTCCTGAAGAGATGCGCTGGTGCCACCCGCCCCTTGTCTTACCCAGGGAGACGTCTTGCAACAGCCGGGCGCACCGCTTGACCAAGACGGCAAACATGGCGAGGCCCAGGGCGGAGGCCTGCTCCTGGATTACAGAGCGGCAGTCTTCAGAGAGGCATTCTAGGAGGCAAGCAGGAAGCTGGTGAGCAGGGGGGAGGGAGGGAGGCCAAGCCCGGTGGGCACTGTTCCCTGGTGGAAGGGCCTTTCTGGCTGCTGGATTCCGGCCCACCCCACCGGACCTTTCACCCCATCCAGGCTGTCAGCCCTCAACTGCCCAGAGAGGAAAGGGGAGCAGCCCCCAGCAAGACCCTACCCTGCGCCCCACTCTTTCTCAACCCATATCGCTTCTGGGGTGCTGGGAGGAGGCTCAGCTGCTTTACAGGGCATCGTATGGGATCGGCGTGCTGCCTTGTTTAATTGCCTTCTCGGTGGTTGCTGTCCTAAGATCTCTGACATTCGGCAGATAAAGGAATTTTTTAAAATTAGCCCTGCTAGTTGCCTAAAAATTTGCTCCTCCTCTGTTCTTATGAAGGATGGTAAAAGTGGGGAGGAAGAACCCAGATTAGCTCAGAAGGAGCACTTTGACCCCCCCAAGAGATGGGCCACCTATGCCCACACGGGGGGCAGGCACAGAGACAGGAGAGGCAGGCTTGGGGCTCCCGTACGCCACGTCGGCCCGTGAAGCACATGCGGGACGAAGCGCCAGCTCTGCCCCCAGAAAACATGACCCGCAGCCAGCCGTGGGAGACGTTTTATTATGATGAGTGCTCCTTACCGGTATTATTTATTGATTTAAACTCAGGCAAGACAGTTAGCATTTTTTTATATGCCGAAAACTAAAAAGTAAATATTGGTCAATTCAGTTAAACGCCAGACAAAGGCGAGTGGACGGAGCCAAAGCCAGCTCCCGAGGGAGCACAGGAGAAGGGAGAACGCCCTCCACTGCAGGGGCTTCTTCAAGAGGGCCTCTCCGCCGATATCCATCACTGGACAAGTTTGCAAGACCTGACACTCAGGCCCTCGGGTTTTCAGCGCTGAAATGATTGATTTCTGAGGATGTGCTCAGCAAACAACTGGCAACCAGGACAGATGTTCCAATACAGGTATCGCACTGTCCCTGGGCTCCACACAGGCTTGCAGCCTGGCTCCCACGTTTTCCACCAGATCCAACTTCCAGAGACTTTTCAAGGGGAGCCCCACGTGGACCAGGTTGCAGTAGCCAAGACAAGATGCAATCTAGGCGTGGATTGCTAGCCATAAGTGTGCAAAGGTGCTCCCTTGGAGCGGCAGGGAGAGCAGGATCCAAGGAGCATCCCAGGAGGAGCAAGCTCCATCCCCAAGAAGCTGGACCGCCCCCTGCAAGTCCAGTGTCCTGCCCCTTCTGCTCTGAGTTCCAGCTTCTCCCCTCTCCTGTTTCCAAGGTGAGGAACCATGCCAGGGACCGACTGCAAGCCACAGAGCTGGGTACCTTCAGCATGTGGATGGAATTGCCCCAGTGCCCCTTGCTAGCTGTTTCATGTAGCTGCCAGACAGCAAACCCCCCAGTGCTACTTTCTGGACATGGCCAGGAAGAAGGGCCAGAAGCACTTCAAAATGCAGCCCCACCAGCGTCCTGAAGGTTACGATACTGAGCCAGCTGCGTGAGAAGCCAGTTCTGGGCTGCCTGAGAAGAACCATTTCTATCAACGGGAGGGAAGTCCTTATGCCACCGAACAGACCACGCTTGGGGTCCTGCAAACACTACTGTCTTCCCAGAAGGACCCTGACAGGTTGGAGAGGACTCGGAGGCAGCCACAAAGCTGACCCAGAGGTCAAAGGACAGATTGAAATAAAACTCTTTTCCACAGGACCAGAAATGAGGACCAGAAATAATGGAGGTAAACTGCAGGTACCTAGATTTTCCTTAACTATAAGGAAAAGCTACTTGAGAATACGATCTGAACCCACCTCTGGACCTTTTTAGGAAAGGGCAGGACAGCGATGTCTCAAGGATGGCTTAACTGCTTTTTCTGGTCTTTGGGGCTTCCTCCGACTCCACAATTCTCTCGGTACCCGGCATCTGCGGCAGGAGGACTTTGAGTACCACTCCTCAGCCAAAAGGCCAACAGAAATGGGCCCAGACCATCCGTACGGCGGTCACCCGGGGAGTTTTCCCCAAGGGGGCTGGGAAGCCCACCAGCCAAGGGAGCCCAGGGGGCACAAGGGGGGGGCTGAGCAGCAAGCTCTGGGACAGGCTAAGAGGTGGCTCAAGCCATCCAGAAACCCCAGTCCTGCCCCAGTTGGAGGGGCTGCTCCCCACTGCCAGGAGAGAGGGGCCAGCAGCATCTCCCTCAGCCTCTGAAGCTTGAAAGGGCACCCTTACAGCAGAACAGCACGACTGGAGGACCAGATGCAGCGCCCCAAACTACTGCTGTCAGCCTGCAATCTTTAAGGGTAGCTGGTAGGAGTGCCTAGCAACTGAAGCATGGAGGAAAATGGCCAATGACACATAAATAATGGGACAGAAGGGGAACATCACTGACTATGCAGGAGGTAACTTCAGGAACTTGTATTGTATTGTATTAAGACACATTAAATCAAAAAGTGTGGCTGTGGCCCTAACCTGACCCTAGGACCCAGGGTCTCTCTTGCCAAACCGCCAGAGCCCAGGGGTGGGGCGGCCTTCCTCCACGGACTACTTCTGACCACGTAAAAGCCATTCTCGCCTGAATTTAATTTCTAGTACCTACAAACCAAAGAGAAAAGCCAGGCTGGGTGACTTGCCTCTTCCTTTCACGAAGTAGCCGCTTCCTAAAGTGAGAACAGCCCAATCTAGCGCAGCAGCGCTTTTTATGGGAGCGCCACGCTCCTCGGGGGCTTGGCTGAAAACCTTCCGAAGGCCACGCAGGGATGGGCAACTTTGGGAACGTGGCAGGGACCTGCTACAGGGTGGCTGGCTGCGCTTCTGGGCTTGGGGGAGAGATTTTGGGGTGGCGGTTATTTTCCTTTCGAAAACCGCTTTAGGCCTGTTCCGTGACCATCTCTATAATTCTGGGGCACCTTCTGCCTCAGAAAGACAGGAAGGCCGCTTTCATTTTCAACTACAGTGGCTAGGGAGGCCCGGGTGGTCTCGGGACCGGCGGGCCGACCCGCCAGGCACCCCCCCGCCCCCGGGAGGGGGGGCGGGGGGGGAGCCGCCGCCGTTTGGGGCGCGCC